TAGATAAATAGAGATGTATTTTAGTGAATTACATATATAGGGTCCAAAAACATTAACATATAAAAAATAATAATAAAAAATAACAGCCGATTCCGATTGCAAAATCGATTTATCATGCATCCCTCAAAGTACAATTTCAATTCCATCCATCCAGAAAAATATGGATATACTTCATTTTAAATATAGCATAGTATATTTTTTTCTTGTAAACTTTCTGGTAAACTTGCATGTTGCATATTCTAGTAAATCTGTTTCACCTTTAAACCTGCAGCTCTCCCTACTTCTCTCTGTACTCTGTTTAAACAGATTTATGAACCTTTTTACAAATATAATGACGCCAGAAATAATATTTCAAGATATGTAGAAGCTCTGCAGTCTGATGAAGAAAACATGTTAATTTTAACCTGTAACTGTGAATCATGGTCCTCTGAGAAGCCCAGCTTTTTTAACTAGTAAAGAAGAACAAACTATGTTTTCTCAAGCTTCTTGCATTATAATACTAACTTGTATAAACTTACAAAGTGTTGCCATTTTTAGCTTAAAAAGCTCAGTATGTCAAACAAACAGAATTTTCAGTGATATGATCTCTATTTTTTTTTAACGAACCCGTCTCCTAACTTCTACTTAAATAAGTAGCTGCTGGTTAAATAAGTAGCTGCTGGTTAATATTCACTGAGTGCTGCTGTGTGTCTCTCCTCCAACCACGTGGCTACTTTGAACATCAGTGACAGATAAGATGATGTTACACCAAGAGGTGAGACACGGGAGCGAGGAACAAAAAAAAACACAGACTGAAAACGCTCTGAACACAGATAGGTTCACCCAACCTGTGTTACCTTTGGCTAAAGAAAATGAGCGAAAAGAGGGGAAAAAATTAATTATTGGTGGAGACTGTCCCCACCAGTCCTTCAGAAAGTTACACCTTTACATCAAATACACAAATAAATTAAATCAGCAAATCCTTTCTCTCCTGACTATCTTGACCACAACCTCTGACTGGTTTCAGGATGTTATATAGAAATGTTAAAATCCACATAGAAAGGAGTTCAAACCTGGCTAGATTGGATCAACAGAAGCTGAAATCCAACAAATATGAAAAAAGGTGGTATTCATTAAGAAACAAAACCACCAAAAAATTTTCATGCTTAAATGAGACAATGAGGAGACAGAAATGATTCTGCTTTTGTGCTACTTTACAAAAAACTGCACTACTTTTGCCACATTGTATCTCTAATAATATTCTAATTACACTGTTGTCTACAAAGTGCCAGAACTAATGAGAACACAATGTTGCAGACTCCTGCTGCTCCTCATACCGTGTTCAGCACAACGTTCAGCTCCTCCATGTACTGCTTCAGCCTCTGAGTGGTGGAAACACACTCCTGCAGGAAACTACACAAAGATGTTTAGAGTAAATCCATATATGTCAGTGTTTGTGTGTTTTTCTTTGTCATTGTGAGTGTGTGAGTGTGAGCCAGGACCTACTTGTTCTGACTGTGGTAGTGCTTAATGAGGTTCTGCAGCAGGTCGACGCCTCTCTTTGTTTTTATCTCGTTCACTTTAATGAGATACTGAGATAGAGAGAGTTACTCCATTAGCTTGAATTAGATGTAGCTGCATGACTGTAAAGTGTGGAGTGAGAGACCCCAGATGGCTTATAAGGAGCCACTAACCTCGCACATGCTCAGCTGGAAGGAGCGCCTCTCCTTCTCAAGCTCCTCAGCAATTTCTCCTCCGCTCACCTCACTCCGAACCATTCCATACTGTCGCGCTAACTCCCTTTTCTCCTTCTCCACCTGCTTGCTAAACACACACGCACACTTTAAATTATTAATCTGACTCCAGACAGCTTTACCAGCTCACTTCTGCTTACATGAGCCTTTTCCCGTGTTTCTGAATAATGCAGAGATGTAATTTATTTTTTACACGCACAAACACGTAACAAGGGGACCCTAAAAATAGGAGATATTATTGAGCTTGTAAACTCACAATCGGTTCTCATAATCCCTCCATGCTCTCTCAAAGGGCTTCTTCAGATCCTGCAGAAACAGAAGATAAGGTTTACAGAAACAATCTGTGTTCATTTTACGCAACAAAATCCAGGCCTTTTCTGGTCAATCATTTGAGATGAAAAACACTTTAACTAGTAGAGAAAAGTTCTTACCCCCTTCACCTCCCTCAGGTCTCCTTTAACCAGAGAGTCCAGGAAGAAGTTGATGTTGTGAAGCATGCTCTTCAGCTGAACACAAACGCACAGATATGCTTAGGAAAAATGAGACTGAAAGCTAAAATTTTTACGTATTTTATACTAGTATTATAAATAAAGTGAGATTTAATAAACTATTTGCATTCAAATATAATGAAATGAAAAAATCTTACATAGCATAGTTGAAATTAATGTACAAAACAAAAAAATAAATAGCTTCCAGATTGTATGCAGTAGTTATTTTCTGTTCCAGAAACTAAATATAATTTCATAACTTTAAATTCACCTTATAAAAAGTCAAAAAGGAAACCAAAATTTGATTTAATTTCCCCTTGGGATTAATCAATTATTTTTTAATTGAATTTAATTAAATTTTTAAATTGAATCTATTTATGTAAATAGAGTAGAAATGTGGAATGCATATCCATCCTTACCTCTTAAAAAACTGTGCACAACTATATGAGAAAATCATCACTGTAAGTGAAGTATATTTTCTTGTATTAATAATGAATGCTTTATTGTTGATAAGTGAAGAGTAGATTAATTTTATTGCAAGAAGAGATTCATAAGCTTTTGATTCTGCCTAAACCTTTCAGCCACAATATTGTTTATGTAAAAATAATGACTGTTCTATGTGTCTGAATAAACTTAAATCAAAAAAAAAAAAAAACAGTGCTGAATACTGAGACTCGTCAGTAATTTCAAATCTGAGTTCTTCAATTTTAAAGCTGATTAAAATAGCCTCACCATATTAGAAAAGCAGTAATGTTAAAACAGAATATTGGCCTAGTTAATATTTAAAGATTTGCTCCAACTGCTTCATAGTCTTTTTCATTTTAACATTTTTTCTCTTCCAAAGGCTTGCTTTGCCTTGATTGGTCAGCTTTTGCAAAAAAAAAAAAAAAGGTTGAAGCAGCTGCAGTATTTCTGTTTGAAGTGTTCCTCCCTTTCCATGAGCCGGATGCTATGCAAATGAGTTTCATTGTGACATCAATAGAGGAAAAAGTCAAAAAGAACAACCAGCCAGGCATTTCAGGCAGTTCAAGAGCAGCGGCTCCTCTAGAGAGGAACGATTCTTCAGTTTCACTAAAGGTCGCACATCGAAGCAGATATTTAGGATCCAAACACAAAGAAACACTGATGGTCTGGTCTATGTAAATATTTAACCAATTTTTTTGCTGCATTCAAGCTTGTTAGAGCAGTTAAACAGAAAATCACTTCCTTCATCATAAAACAACGAGGCGTCAGTATTTGGTATTATCTTTAGATACATTAAAATATGTATATTTTATCATAACCACCAAAATCTTGATATTGTTTCAATTAGCAATCAGCACTTCACTTACAGTAACACCATCAGATACAAAAGCAGAACATAGAGACATCACCTAATGACTGGATCACTCAAGACTTTGCCTTTATGAATGTTTTCTCACGTCATCCACACATACTTTCTAATGTTTTTTTTTTTGACCCACTGCTGAGGTTTATGCAATATTTGAAAAAGAAGTTTGCAAGCAGATATGCAGTTCTACTACAAAGCTGCATATATAAGATATAAGATTATACTGAATACATTTTATTCTCCGTCTTAAGACCTTTGTTATGTTGATGTTTTCAGGAATTTCCACCAGACAGTACTTCCTGTACCTTCAATGTCCTCTTTGGGGAATCTATCATTTAATAGAGTTGCAGTGGTAGAAATTGTACTCTGCAACTTTTGAATAGAAATCAGCACCCAGCTTAGCATTTCACAAAAGCTCCCAATGCCAACTAACAAAATTTGCTCTGATAAGCGGTTTTAAGAAATGTGTAAATGCTGCCTTTAGTAAAACATTTTCCAATCACTACTTTAATGGTCACATCTCCTCCCAGAAGTATTTAAAAAAGGGTAGTAAAACAAATAAAACAGTTGGACCTGGACCACAACCTTAAAGCAATGATACCTCGGTTAAAGATTTTACTTCAACAGTCAAATGCAGTTCTAAACAAATATGTTATGTTGGTTTTCAGTCTTACTGCAAGGAGATATGATTTGCCTCCTTACATACATGCTGGTCATCTTGATGGAGAAATGTTCTCAGGTGTGCAGCAACACAGGTCGGCCCAGCCACAAGCAAAGATCCTCTCTATGACAAGGAGCTCACACCAGAAAAACATTACCCCCATTCAAGGACTGCCCTCTGGCAGACAGAGGAAGGGCGAGAAGCCAATAAAGTTCCAAACAAGGTCCAAAAAAAAAAAAAAGAATGAGGGATCCAGTACCTCTGTTCTGGAAGGTTGTTCCAGATCAGTGAAGTGTAGGAACTAAATGCTTTTTCTCCACATTTGCTTCTAGTTCTGGATGCACAGAGTAGCCCTGGGAGGTTGATACACTGACAGCATATCTGTTATGTGTTGAGGTGCTGATCCATTTGGTGATTTATAGACTAACAGAAGGATTTTAAAGATTATTCTCTAAGCTACAGGGAGCCAGTGGAAGGACTTCAGAACCAGACTGATGTGCTCTAATTTCCTAGTTCTAGTGAGAACACTGGCAGAAGATAAATACTAAAGATAAATGCATGAATACGTTTATCTAGAGCTTGCTTGAAGATTAGTCTTTTAATCCTGGAGATGTTCTTCAGGTGTTAAAAGGCTGACTTAGTAAATGCCTTTATGGGACTCTGAAGGTTCAGGTCTGAGTCCATCATGACACCAAGATTTCAGCCATAATCTAGCTGCAATAGCGTTAGCTGGGAGCTAACTCTGGATCTCTCCTCCTTTGTTCTGATGATTACCTAAGTTTGTTTTAATTCAGTTGGAGAAAATTATGGAGCAATTATGGAGCATGGAGAATCGATAAGGAATCAAATCGTTTCACAGAATCGATAAGGGAATCGGAATCATGAAAATCTTATAAATTCCCAACCCTATTCATTAGGTTAATTGCAAATTGTACTTATGTGAATCATGGATGTTGTTGTAAATATTGGAGCTTCAGTGAACAAAACAAGTTTGTACCCTGTGTTCATATGCTTGGCAATAAAAAAACTGGAAAAGAAAAAATACTTTTTAAGACCAAGCAAAGATCAGGAATAGATCTAAATGGCTTCTCTGACTCTAGATCTCTCCATTGTTTAGCTGTTTTCACTTACCAGGTTTTTCATTGGAGACAGAAGCTCTTTAGAAAAGTCTGCCAAGTGGCAGAAGGCCGAGCCAACCTCTGTCTCTCCATTTGAATGACAGTTTACTGCGAGCTTCTCCATCGAGTTGATGTACTGCTCCAGGTGAGACACATGATCTATCCAAAAAAAAAAAAAAACTGTTAGTTTGTGTTGTCATCTAAAGTGTTTGTGCACTTATGTCTCTCTGTACCTTGCCCTGAAGCATACTTGGCTTTAGCAGCTTTCTTCATCTTCTGCAACACTAAGCGGTCGCTGTCCAGGGCCTGGTCAAGGACACACAGGGATGATGAGTGGGAGTAGGTGCTGTCCGCATCAGTGGGTTTACAGTACGTGTGTAAAGCTCTGTTGTAAGGCTCTGTTGTCTAACAGTAGAGTGTTCAAATGGTTGAAAAGTAAACTTAGTTTCAATCTGGAACTACTAATCAACCAGAGACATTCAGTCACCCATTATAACTAGCTAAGCTGTCATTTTTTTTTCCAGTTTATCACAAGAAAAGACAAAGAAGAACCTTCAGTGTAATAATACCAAAACTGATCTTTTTTGGTATACATTTAAAAGACAGCATCCCCACAGTAAAATATGGTGGCGGGAGCATCTTGCCGTGGGAATGATTTCCTTCTGGGACAGAAAAACTGATCAGAATTAATTGGAAAACTGGTGGAGCTAAATAAACCCTGCACATAAAGCCATATGGGGGAATGGTAGATAATTTATTAAATTGCCTCAGCGTAAATCCAGACTAAATCTAAATCTAATCTCCTACAGAACTTGTTTTGCAAAAAAAGAATGGTCAAAAATATCACCCCTCAGATGTGAAAAGCTAATCGACATCCAAAAAGAGCCTACCCTTCAAGTTTTGGACATCCGCTGTTGTGCTGATGACATTTTTTGGCCCCAATCCCGATACATGGCTGTGTGGCTGTGCAGTATTGGCCGATACTGATACCATACTAATACCATCTGTTTGAAATTGATGTGTGTGTGTGTGTGTATGAAGAACTGCATACTACTTGGATGTAAAATAATTGCCATCATGGCTTTGTCAAGCTGCCGCCTACCTTTGGGAAGCAGGAAAACGACTAATACAAAGTGAATACAGTAGAACTTTTTATTGGCTACCTGGAATGTCTTACAATAGTTATAAACCTTTGGTTCTCAAAATGGTATCAGTGCCCTATTTGTTGGTACTCGCCAATACTGATACCACCATTTTAGTGCTGGATCGAGGATACTAATATAGTATCTAATATATTTTAAGACATGTGCACGAGAAATCTAAAATAAACACTTGTTAAACAATTGCAAACTACATCAAAGTGATCGGATTTTGACTTGCAATACTAGTGGCAGGTCCATTTGTAGAGGAAAATCATTGAGGTTTTTGTTTTAGATAATTCTATAACAGAATAATACTGTATAGGTGACAGATAATACAGGAGTAAGGAGGGAAAGAGGGGAAAAATACAGCAGTATTGGCCAAAACGGGAGACTTGACAGTTATGAAAAAGACCTGCAGGATCTCTTGCAGTGAAAGATGGTCCTACAAAGCATTGGGTCAATGGGGTGAATACTGCTGAATGCCATGGTTATCAGGATTTTATCTATACCATAACTATACCACATACAGTATTCCTTCAACACATGGTAGGGTGATTCTTTATATGTGCAGGGTCTACCACATAATGTCCTGACTATGTTTACTGAGCTTTGCTGGTCTAGCATATAAAAAATTTATTGTTTAAGGTTATTAAGTTGTTATAATAGGGTTCTAGAGCCATTGTCTTGACTAATTGCAATGTAGTGAAGGGGAAAAAAATGCAGATTGAAAATAAACAGGAAAAAGTCTGAAGAAAAGCAAAATAAACTTTAAGAAAGTCAGGAGAGCTATCAAGATGGCTTTAAACAATTACAAGAGTTTTGTTCGGTGAACGCTAACTATACAAAAATGATACACAACTACAGATTTTTTGTACATGATTTAATATTATGTTAAAATGAGCGATAAATATGTTGCAACTGAAACAGTTACAGTCCAATGTTTTGTCACTGAAAAAATATTATTTTATTTTGGCTCCATGATTCAAAGTCTAAAAAGAAATGTAAACTCATAAGAACAAGCTACTTTAGAGTACCCTATTTGTCTAGGTGATTGCTTCATCAAAATACCATGAAAGGCAGTTATAATGTTCAAACATATGTTGACAAGACTAAATAATTCAGCAGATGTGACATTCTGCAACAAAATAAGAAAAACAAGTTTTGAAGCATAACAAAACCCTCATTAAAAGCTGTAGTTTACACCTCTCCAGTCTGCCTTTAAAGCTGCGCCAGCTTGCAGATTAACTAACATCTTTATTAACATTAATCTCTCTGGCTTCTCTTCTAAACCATAAAATAACAATAGCACAGAATGATGATGGCTGGTAATCTGTTGCCTTGGTAACATATGCTGGCCCTGCTGGGTGTACATGATGGGGGCTTTTGGGTGGTGGGGGGTCTCAGTTCGGATATGTTTTTCAGACCATTCTCCAGGTCAATAGCTCCATTGTGGGGAGACAGAGGGGGGGTGCCCTGCCGCATGCTGTTTTAAAGCGGATCCTCATCCAAATGTACAGACCCCACACAGCAGCAGACCAACTAGACAAAGTGTTCACAGCAGATAATTTGTTAACTGGCACAGAAATGAAGGAATTCTGTTCAGCTGCCCAAAAGTTCTCACAGCCAAGATTATCAGGAAGTACAGTATCCTGTTAACTTCCATATATATACAGTATATATATATATATACCAGACTTTGATGAATTCAAGCAGCTAGCTAAATTGCAGATTACCCCAGTAATCTGCAACTTAATTTAAACAGTTCCTTACATCTGTGACTCTTTGATTCCTAATAAGATCATTGTCATCTCATCGATCAGCTCCACCAACCCAAGCAGCAACACATCACCTTCCAGTTTGAGCTCTGATTAAACCGTATCTAAACGAAGCCTTTCTAACAGTAAAAGCTTGTGTTTTTCTAGGACAAGTCATCAATTCAGGCAAATTTGTGAAAAAAACTGCAGTTTTAGATCTTAACATACTTGCCAACAGAGGAGACTATTATTTCAAATAATACATTCTAATCAAATGTTTAAAAAAAATGTATTGAGTTTTTGGTCGGGACTATGAAACAAATCCTATCACAGTCGTTTTAGGGTAAAAAACAAGCTAGGCTGCTTATAGTGAAATAAATCTCTTACAGTGGAGTCTCTGTATATGCACAATGATTCAGAAGACGATGCAAGAACATCAAAGAACATTTTACACAATTATTCCCTTTGAGGTCTACTATAGGCTTCCACTGCCTGCAGGCTATACTGACAACTTTTCCTTGCTTCGATAGTTTCTCTTTTCAAGTCTCACTTCATAAGTTATATGTTATTTTTGCCTACATCAACCTTACGTCTACAGTCTTGGTCCATGTTACCAACACAAATGACATCTTATCCATCAAACCATTCTGTGTTTAACCGTGTCTCTTTTCAGAATGCAGTCAATGACAGAGCTCATTTGCTGAAATGAGAATTTATGTTTAGTCTTATAAAGTACTCATGCCCTAGTTACCTCTGTGTCTGATTCTCTTTCAGAATCAGATTCAGATTTATTGCCAAGTAGGTTTGCTCTTACAAGGAAGTTAACGTGGTGTTGATGGTGCAGACAAATTTGCTACCTAAACAGAATACAGAATCTATAGCTATATACAATATAAAACATACATACTTGTTGATAAGGCTGGTAGCAAATGGGAAGAAACTGTTTTTTAGGCATGAGGTTTTGGTCCTGATGGACCTCTTGGATGAAGCTAATGACAGAGCTATTCATTTTAATAAGGTCACTGGTTTTTATTGTTATAGAAGTACAGGTGGTAGTAAAGTGCATCTGTGTTTAACGATGTCTCTTTCCTCAAAGGAGTCGCTAACAGACTTGGGCCCGGGCCTATTCCTCTCACTAGGCTCTGAGAACACTCCTTGAGTTCCCTCCACAGTGAAGTCCACTTAACGAGGGAAGTGCAACTGAAAATTTTCTCCCTAAGAAATGGGACACCACTACAGTAGTTGCAAAATTACACGCCAGCCCAGTAGACGTGTTCACGTACGTCATGCGTCATCACAGCATGAGTCACAACCTTCGCTGAATGAGTTCTGGGAAGCCACTACGTCCCAAGTCAGCTCTACACCACCGTCGGTCTGAACCGATCATTTTGAGGCTTGAAGGGCATTTCCCCCTAACTCTTAAAATTATATGGACACACCACCCTTACTCATGAACGCACAAAAACGAGTGCTAGGGCCCAAAACGAATGCAAGTGATAGAAATGGGACAGGGCCTTGCTGTCTTTAACTTTGCTGCACATCTTAGTGACCTGGTCTAGTGCTTCTGTCTTGATGTTATTTTTAATTCCCAAACAGACTTATGGGGGGGGGGGAAATCTTGTTGAAATTACCAGCCACTTACTATATTTTTTTTCTTTTGTTTTTCTTTTATTCTATTAAATGTTAATACAGCTATTAAAATGAAAACAAGCAACTAGAATCAATACAAACAATTGCTGGAATTGATTTCAGTTTTTTGTTGCACAAGAAAGAACCCCTGGTCAAGCGCATTTATGTTTAGCTTTATCTCTTATCCAGATAGAGCCATTGATAAATCTGTTAATGCCACTAACTTCACATTTTGTGTTTTGTTTTGGGGCTTTTTCTTGTATACCATAGAAAGTACTCCTTGCCCAGTGCTTTGACAGTATTCTGTCTGTCTGTTCTTGTCCTCGCGGTCACACCAGATGGCAGCTCACACACATTGCTTAGTTCTTGGGTTGTACTGTATTATAATTAGGCTCATTTTATTAGAGAACAGCACAGAAATAAGTTGGAGAGATCCAAATTGAAGACAAAGCGAACAGGATGTTTTTTCACTGAATCTTTGCCTTTTAACGTGGCATGAGGTGACATTTGTGAGATACAGTATTGCTGCAATATAGATTAAAAATAAATTTAATTTAAGTATTTATAAATGTCTATTTAGTATCTCAGCACCTGCACGAGACTATAGCAATAATCCAGTGAGTCCTTTTTCTTGTTCCTTGTGATAAGAGACTCACTGAGCTATTATACAGTATGATGTCACCACAATCCATACACCAATAAGAATACAACAGGAGCTGTTTTTTGTTTTTTTGTCTTTCTTCTACTCAGGCAGTGACTGACAGTTTGAGCTATCATGGAAGGAGAAAAAATAAATGAACAGCACCTTTCATTTTCAGTATGATAAAATCATTTAGAAAAAAAGCTGACAGCTGGATTTTACACAAAGAGTAAAGGGCGAGCAGTAGTGATAGGAATGGGGTCCAAACATGTTTAATGTGTAGTAAGTGACTTTGGATTCTGCTTTCAGTAGAAGCATCTGGCTGTTGCTGCTGTTACCACCATGACCACCTCCCCATCCTCTCCCCTCCCTCCCTCTGCCAGCACTCACCTCCTCCAGCAGGTAGATGGTGTTCCTGCAGTTGATCATCTTGGAGGTGAAGGAGGAGGTGGTAGGAGAGCTCCAGTCCTCTTGAACCTCCTGCACGAACTCCGACACCGACACACACTCCGGCATGGTGATCGTGCAAAGCCCGGCGCACAAAAGGGCAGAAGCGGGACAGGCGGGCGCAGAATGGGGCTGATGGAGAAAAGGTGGACAGCAGGCGCAGTCAATTCAATTAATTAATTAATATGTTAAATGATCTGCAATACTGGGACAGATTCAAACGCCCTCTTCATTCTGGTTTGCAAAACTAAGTGATAATTAAGGAGGACGCTTTTTTCTTTTTTTAATAAAGGACCTACTCAGTTCTCCTGCCTCAGTGTGAACCAACCGCTGCATCAAACGCCTCTTTTCTGCGAACAAAAGGTGAATCAGTCCAGCTGAGAAAGGATCCAAACACCAAAAACTTCACCAATCTTACCCCTGATGTGATCAAACTAAAACACCTTATCTGTGGTGAACGTCTCCATTCAGAAAAAAAATTAGAAAAGGGGAAGAAAAAAAAATCCACCAAAGCGCTCTGTGCGTGAACCGGCTGACAAAGACCTGGAGGCGAAGTGCGGAGAAGCGGACCAAACGGAACCAGGTGCCGGTTCGGATAGGAGGGTCGGACTAGTCTCGGCTCTCTCGTCCAGCCTTGCATTCATGTCTCATCAGCAGCATCTCATTTTTCTTTTCAACGCTTTTGCTCCTTTATTGAACCCGCATGGAGAGGCGCGCTCACGCTTAACAGTGGTGGAGCCCTCTGTCGCGGTGGCGCGCACTGCTGACCGAGCCCATCACTGGTTGAACTGGAGGGGGGGGCAAAACTCCTCATTAAAGCCTTGGTTTATTGCATGTATTCTTTTAAAAAAGGTGTTCCTCCCTCTGAAAAAAAAATAATAATAATAAAAAAATGGAAATGCATCAAAATCTTTTTTTTTTTGTTATAAACTGGTTCTTAAATAAATCAAATTGTATTGAAATAGCTTAATTTTTTAAAACAAATTCCCACATTTTTAAGGCAGCTTTTAGATGTTTATTATACTTTTTATTCACCTTCCGAAGAGGCTTTCATTTAAAAACAAAACATGGAATATAAAAATCCTAATTTAGAATTCAACTTTATTGTCATTCCACTGTCACAAGTACAGAGCAACAAAATTACTTCTCTGCATTTAACCCATCCCCTTGGGGAGCAGTGGGCTGCCATTGTGCGGCGCCCGATAAGCAGCATGGGGTTAAGGGTCTTGCCCAGGGACCCAGAGTGGCAGTCTGTCTGTGGGAGTGAGAATCAAACTCAGAACCTCAGGATTCCAAGCTCTATGCCCTAACAACTAGGCCACCACTCCCCATAAATAGTAAATGTAAAGAAGCAAAAACAGCTCAAGATTGTTCTGTTTAACAATTAGGCATCAGGGGAAACACAATACTGTGAAAAGACACAAAGACCACCTGAAAAAAAAAAATCTTTCAAATAATTAATAGAAAAGGAAACCAATATCAATATGCTGCTGGAATTCAGGAAAATCTTTCATTCGAGTGACATCATTTCCTGTAACATCGGAGCCAGCAAGCCAAATTTCTGTCTCAGCATGAATGAGTATTGCCAGTCTCAGAGGACATAATCAGAACAAACATCCAGAAAGTAAACAAACTATTTGGAGCTTCCTGTTGCACAAGCAGACTGGGACAAAGTTCTGATGGTAGAGTCCTGCTTTAAGCTTAATTCTGTTCGCTTTAGAGAAACAAATAAGCAAGAAGATAACAAAGATCTGTCCAGCTGTATGAATGCAACAAAGGTCTGGAGTCTCACACAAACAACATTATTCCTGGAGCTTTTTACATATTACAGCAAAAAACATTTTTATTTAGGCTGTTATTAGGTAGATCTTTCTGGATTGGCAGAAAATCCTTCATGGTTAAGTTTTTTTTTTTAACTTTTTTTTACTCAAATGTAGAATAATGAGAATGTGTTTGCTAAGGTGCAGAACGCAGCAAACATGTGGATGAAAAATCTCCACTCAGAGGAGACCAAAACTGGACATTTTGGTCTATGATGTGCTGTCAGCATTATTCTGGGTGTATATTTTACATGAACAGAAACAGACAAGCTGTTCAGAATCGCTAAGGATTTATGTGGCTGAATGGCCGTGTTAAAGTCCAGAGTTAAATCTATTTGAGAATCTGCAACACAAATCTGCAACACTATTCTTCCATTCTAACTAAAGTATCTGCTCATTTTTTGGTCTGCAAAGCTGTCACAGACATAAAGCAGCTGAAAGTTTGAAGGGACCATTGAAGGACCAAATAACATGTTAGCATGATTTCTTTCCTTGAACAGTTAACTGTCAAATGCCAACTAGTGGGACCTGGAGGTATAAGGAGTCAATAAGGGATTAAAATGTCAGTGCTTTCTAAATTCATTTACTTATTTCCAAGTTTCTTCATTTTTGTGCAAGCTATGCATTTTAAGAATTTAGATTTAGTCATCAGACCCTATAGCTCGAAAGGCAAAAGGCCAAAGTTAAGAGAAGAACATTTAGTGGTTCGAGATCCAAGTTTTCTGGAATGATGTTTGTAGAGCGGTCTTTACTCACACTGCAATGACCCAACACCCCCTATTGTTCCTTTTTGGAGTTATTTTTTAAGAACTGGTCTTACCAAAAGGAGCTCACATAGTTATTACCTTTTAAGCATCATCAGGTTTTATAAGTTATTAATCTTATGTTCTTTTTTTTTTTTTTTTTGCTTGTTAACAAATTCATTATGTACCTTTAAAGTCACTGGTTAAACCTCTATGTCTGGCAGTGTTTGATATAGATTCGTACCATTATTACTAACTAAAAATAATAACTAAAAAGAGTAGAAAATGTCTATTTCATATATAATCAACTAAAGAAGATTCAATTTTTAAAGAGCCCTACCCCCTTTTCTGTTTGTTGGTTAAGGAAAGCTTTAGCAATAACAGGTATGACTTTAATTGCATGTTGTTTTTGGTGGTGTATCACATGACAGTTCTGGAAAATGCATTGACGTTCCCACCTGTGACATGAATGAACATGAAAGATTTCACAAAAAATTATAGTTATCCTTTTATGTAAAATTTCACAAAACAACATGGAAATTTGTTGATAAAAGAAGATAGAGTAACCTTTCAGTTGTCCTTGTCGTTTCAAAAGCTGGAGGTCGTCTCTTTAGCTTAATAGCCTGATATGGTGAAGTGGTTTCTCTTTTGTGGAATTAAAAACTAATGGGACCCACTCATGAAGGGGGTTCTATTGAAGTACTCATTGAATGAAGATCATGAGAGTTGTTCAGTCATACTGCTTGGGCCCTATAACTGCCATAAATGTTTATTTTTTTTCCTCAACAATATTTTTTTCATAACAAACTGGAAAACTATTTATTAGGTAAAGATTAATTCATTTCCACCAGTTTTTAAAAATTCCCATGCAACTAAAATTAGCATAATCAATTATTGTTCCCTAGGAATTAATCCAAGCCTACTCTTGACTTTAATCAAATAAAACAGATTACAAGCAAAAGTTAAACTTCTAACCGTAAAGAACATTTTAACTTATCTGATAAACATCTATGTATGTGTTCATAAAAAGTAGCACGCATTTAAATAGACTAATCTTGATTGAAACAAAAATAAATAATTTTAAAGCGTAAATCAGTGCATCAAATTACAGGTGGGATTTTATTGCAAGTTCCTAATATATTATTAAAATATAGACAAAACTACTATCATCACTGTAGAGGGAAAATATTTTTATATGTAGTTTTTTTTTTTATAACATCTGAGGTCATCATTGCTTGGTCATTTCTTCTGGTCATAGAATTTTTTTCATAGCGAAACGTATCCATAAATATTCTTTGTTAGTATTTTAGTGAAGCCAGGCTAAAATATCAATCTGACCATAAAATCTAAAACCGTTTGAGTCAATTTGCTTAATGTGACAGAAGCCTCTCCCCGATTCTTCATCCGTTAACAATGAGAGAGCTGATTTCTCCTGGCAAAGTGTAGAGAATCAGGACAAGGAAGAGCGTCAGGATGATGAGGATGACCAGAGCTATGATGTATTTCTTGTAGTTCTTCCATATTAGGAAGACAAAGGTCTTCATTGGGTTGAGGAACCAGTTGAAGCTGGTGGTGGGACGGCTGCAAAGACAAGAGGCATTCGTTTCAGTCAGCGAAATTTTAACTGTAAAATCTGAAATGAATACCACTGAAAAGATTTGATTCGGTAGTAGACGTGTTTCTGTACTCATTATACAATGAAAAACAATTTTCCATAAATCAATTCTAACTGTGAAGAAATTGCAAATTTGTTCATAAATATGTCAATTCATTAAAGAAAACAAAAGGTTGATATGCCTAAAAAATGATATATGTATATCATTAGCTATTCTCTATACACTGAAAGCCAAGCTTTAGTTGGTAAGGTACTGTATTTTGCAATTTGCATGCTTTCAAAAGAACAAAACTCACATCTAAGCTCCAACGCTACCAAGAACATAAAATCTTTCAAGACATACTAATAATTTATTGGGTCAGAGTTTAGATGATAAAAATATCCTAGGTTCTGAAAGCAGTTAATAAAGGCCTCAGGATCAACTAAATGATAAAGAAAAAGCTTTAATTATTAACCAAATAAAGTTAGCTATTAAGATTACATTTATCAAACTCCCCTCCACTCATTTCTCAGCCGGCTAACGCCTTTTATTTTACTCAATATGGGAAGGAATGAAATGAACCTCCTTTGGTTTGAGTTTAATCACATTTGATCATAATGAACAATTATTTTATCAACAGTGAATTTGGATTCTTGGATCTATCTAAGCCACATTAACGGTTTGTGTTTCTATTGTGTTTGATATCTAGTTTATTCACAAAAAGTTTTAAGGATTGGTGTCTTAGTTTTAAGAAAACGTTGCAACTCTTGTTGATCTTTATATGGTTTATTAATGGAAAAACCTCTCATACTTAAACAAGTTGCAGCCCCTTTGAAAAGTGAAGCAACTTCATCACAAATATAATCATCTGGGAGCATTAATATTTATATCATGACCCTGCCCTTGTGCAATGGCAAGTTACTTTGGTTTTTCCAGGGGTTCTGGCTCCTTGCGTCCTCTCCCCACAGGGTTCGCCTCCGCCTGTTCCAAAGCCACCAGCTGAAGCTCCGCCTCCACCTTTCCCTTCACAGAAACGATCGGAGCATTACGGATGATCAGATATCAGTGTTACAGATGTATTGCATCATCATCATACATCAGCCATAAGGTCAGTCTGTTGAAGACCTACAGTAGTATCAAGAAAGCTATCAGATGATCACCCCTCGGATTTAAAAATTAAAAATCAGCTCCTCTGTATTCAAGGTCAAATGAATAAGAAAATAAAACACTTATTTTTGCTGCCACCCAAGAAAAAGTAATGATGAGTATTTTTTGTACCATTAACAAGTAAGTGTTGCCCAAACTGTCTGTGTACTGGATGTCTTCTTCTCTCATCTGGCTTCTTTTGTCCTTTGTCTTTTTCTTCTTGTATCCCTTCTTCTTGGCTCTCCGTTTCTCTTTCTCCTCCTTCTCGAAATCCTCAGCCGTCTTCAAGCGGACCAACGGCCACCAACCCTTCATTTTTTTAGCACGAAAGATGGAGAAGCGGGGACTGGCCTGGTCCTTCGCCATTTCAATTGTGCACTTACTGGACGACTTCGCCGGCCGCACCATGCTGCTTAGAGAAAGCTCTACGGACCCTGAACAAAAAATTAATGAGGCAAAAGATGAGAATATAAGCAGACTGAAACTGATTTTTTCATTAAATTCAAGACTTAATGTGTAAAAAATATCTCTTAAGAATTTACAAATGACTGGCAAATACAAACATGTTCCATTACAATCCAAATTCAGTTGATGTTTCCCTCTTTGACAAGCTTTCAGATCAATGTTTTAGCCAAAAAGTTTTGAAGCCAAAATGATATTTTAGAAGAAAATCTGCATGTTTAAAAAATACAGACACAGATGGCTCTGAATGTTAAGCAGTCTGCTTCAGTAAAGACACAAGTTTCTAATCATTCGTTCCTGTGTGTCTGACGGGGAGGGGAATTAAAAATTATGTAACATATTATGTCACTAATTTATAGAAGTAATTCATGAATCTCTATTGTTTTTTGAGAATAGAAATCAAATCTCTGCATCATAAAATAAATCACCAACCTTTTCTGGCCTGTATTGAATTTGACCTGAATTTAAGATTTCCATAAGGATTTAGGACGCAGGCAGAGGTTTGAAAATGTACATTACTCAATGCCAAAATATCAACATGATATATTTGACATGTCTTGTTATACCTTAAATGTTGAGGAAGTATTTTGTAAAATATCCTACATGCGGGGACTTACAGGTACATATGGGAACATTCACCTGGGTCCCCATGTGGTAAAGTTCAGTTCTTTGAGTTGAGGTTAGGACTAAGGTGTGAATTTAGTTTAGGTTAGGCTTAGGCGTATGTTTGTTAATAGGGTTAGGGTTTGGGTTAAGCCATATAATGGCCTGTACTTATACAGCGCTTTTTCAAGTCAGAAGGCTTGACCAAAGTGCTTTACACTACATTTAACCCTTCACCCATTCACACACATGCTGATGGTGGCAAGCTACATTGTAGCCACAGCTGCCCTGGGGCTCACTGACAGAAGCGACGCTGCCATACACTGGCACCACCAGTCCCTCCAACCACCATCAGTAGGCAGTACACAACAACACCGAAAGCCGTAGCCATGGCTTGAACCAACAACCCTCTGCTCAAAAGGCAAACTCCTTCAGCCAACTCCACTGTCACCCTATATAAAATCAATGCAAGTCAATGAAATATCCCCATATGTCACGTGTGGAAATTTTTTTAAGAGGTCCAGAAACTCATCAGCTTTGTATTTCTCTTGGAGCAGAATCATTCAGATTTTGTCTGCTGTCTTGCTTTTTGGTAATGTTAAACTCTTGGGCATGTTCTACCTTCATGTATGGATGATTAAGGTGGACAGCAAAGAACATCTGCCTCTTCAGTCTCACCTAGAAAGTCGTTGGCTGAGATGCGATCATAGTCCCACACCTGCAGTGTCAGAACCGCCGGCTGGCGAAACTCAGACTCCTCCAAGGAAAAGATGGACTCCTTCTTTTTATACACCACCTCTTTCTAGAAAGATGGACATGAATTTTATTATAACATTTTGAATTTTTTCTTAAAATACATATTTTTAAAAGCAAATTAAGATACTTTTGCAACCACTTTGGTTCCAGAAGTATCATCCATATTATCTGTTTGTGACAGAAGGTTGCACAACATCTTCAGAATCAATCAACCAACATCTACATTAAATTATCAGTCTGTTTTTGATTGTTAAAGCCATAGGACTTCAAGATACAAGGAATATACCAGCTTTAAAGTACAGACCTCATGACTTCAAAGCCTATACCTCAGTGGGAAGGTAGTCAAATCGGAAAACAAATCTCCAGTTGAAGTTTCCTTCCCCGGTCAGAGAGTTAAAGTGGACATCAGTTTCCTGTTTGTCTCCATCCAACCCTTTTATCCAGCTACAAACAAATGAACAATAAATAAAACTTGCTTATGATTGGTCAGACCATGTAAAGTTGCGCTGACTTTTCCAGGGTTAGGATTAGTTAACTTGAAGGGTAAGTCTAACCCTTTAACATAGATGTCTGAGGATGGGTCGCCTGTGAAAGGGTTGACATCATCCAGAAACACATCATCTGTGTTCCAGATGATCACACGCAGCTCATACCTGTCATTATCAGAGCAAAACACAAACATGAACTATTGTACTACACTTTCAATCCCCTTAAATTTCTTCAAGTTGTGTTTCCTCCTACTGTTCAGGTAGGCGGGGTTTTATATCCACAGCGGGCGGAGCTGGGATATCAGTGGGAAACATGTCCACCCACATATGAAGATAACCCTGCAATGTAAAAAGATAAACAAACATTACTGATGGCAGCCATTTACACCATATGCAGCGACTTGCTATTAATTTTGGCCAGTGGATGTTTTTGGACCTGGGGGAGTCCTGGATTGTCCTGGTTCTGCAGAGACCGGATCTCCACATGCTCAGGAACCAGACGAACGGCTCCAGGGAGGAACTCAGTCATCTCCTCCCAGCGCCGCAGCACATGCAGAGATGCATGCTCCTCTATCTCTGCCTCTTCCTCTGGAGAGCGCTCGTTCTTCTTCAGCAGACCTTAAAACAACAAAGTTTCTATTAGAGCTGCACCCAGCATGATTACAAATCCAGCTTCTTATATCATCATATGTAACACATTTGTGAGAGAGATGGAAGCATGAAAAAAAAAGAAACTATTAAATTCACTGAAAAAGATAGACCTGGGATGACTTGGGTATGAAAAATCTGACACCATCAATAATTCAGCCTTTTTTTATCTTTGCAATTAGCCATTGAATTGAAATTTTTCCTTGGCACTTGCAGCACATGGGGAGCATGATGGAGCCTTGCTTAGGTACCCAGAGAAACCTTAGAACATTAGAGACCTTATGGTATTCCCTGTATGCAAAAGTTCAGCTTTCCAGCCATTAGGCCACTTTTACGCTGCTGTCAAAAGTGACTGGGAGCAGTTTTGACAGCTACTGAATAATTGCTAAATATCTAGATGGGTAAAAGTAAATTCCAGCTACAGGTCAACTAAAGTACTGTCTCAGGGGGCAAATGGACACCAGACTCCTTAGATAGTATCAATCAATTTTCTATCACACTTATCTCAAGCAGGATCACTGGTGCTGATCTCCAGGAAAGAGACTGAACAGCCCTCCTTAGATAGTATTCTAGCAAAAAATAACTAAAAACCATAAACAAGATTCAAAAGGTGTGATTACTTTTCAATGCATCGTTTCATATGAAACTTCCGCAAGGATAACTTCAAGCTATGCCTAAACACCATTAAAACATAACATCTCCTTTCAGCTAGATTGTGGTGTATTTATTTATTTATTGCATTGTTTGTTTTCTTTAAAAATCAAGACACAAAGAATAATCTGAATCTGCATCTGGCATAGAGTTGCTTTTAGCTGCTTCTCTCAGATTTAATATTCAAGTACGTTTGACAATCAGGACCTAAAATCTCTTCTTTACTGACTGATATCTGTCTCTTCTAGTTGTATACTCTTTCTCACCTTCAGGTATTGCGTCTGGAGGTATTTTGAAGATCATGTTGAGGACTTTGACTTCTGATGTTCTGTACTCTGGAGATGGGATGCCGTTCTTCCTGCAGAGCTCAGCCAAGATTGTCGATGGTTTCTTTGCATCACGCCACTTATTGTAACCATCGCTTTGGAGGCAGAAAGAGAGGCACACTTAAAATAATTCACAGACATCTGCAGACTGCATTGCACATGTTTAGTTTTGGTATAAACTTTTTTATCATAACACATACTGTAGATTGCACAATTTCATGTAATTTCAGTTTAAAAAAGGACAGTAATTTTGTCAATGAAGGACCACAACGTGAACATATACATATATCTAATATTCACTGCAGTTCTATAGTGGCACAGAATAAATTACTTTGCAACTAGTCAAATTCTTATTTGTAATCGTAGTTCTAGATAGATAGATAGATAGATAGATAGATAGATAG